CCTCATGCAAATGGCGCTCATGTTTATTCATGTGGAGGGTTACAGACCACCTTTCATTCCCTGAGCCAGCTCGGCTAACCAGCAGTGTGTGCAGTGCTAGGAGCTGAGCAGGCCCAGCCTGGGCAGGGGCTCCTGAATAAGCAATTGCCCTGAAATCCACGCGCGGACAGTCGGCCAGGAAGCTGGCAGCAAATACATTCCCTTTCTTACTCCTGTGACCGCTACCTTTAAGGTTTCAAATAATCCCTTTCCTTTATTTCTTAAATACACTTTTGTTTATTTCAGAGAGGAAGGAAGAGGAAGAAGAGAGACAGAAACATTATTGATGAGAGAGAAACACGGATCAGCTGCCTCCTGCACACCCCAAGCTGGGGACGGAGCCCACAACCTGGGCATGTGTCCTGACGGGGAATTGAGCCTTGACCTCCTGGTTCATAAGTTGGTGCTCAACCACTGAGCCACACCGGCTGGGCCAAACAATCCCTTTCCTACACTGACCCATCCCCACTAGATGTGACTAGCTAGTGGCTCTGTTCCGAGGACAATCTCCCATGGACTCCTCGGGTGCCTCCACCGCACTGTGCTGCTCCCCAGTCCTCCCTGACAGAGGGTTTCTCCCACTGACTCAGCCGAGGCTCTGACTGGAGCTAGGGGAGGGGAGAGGGCAGTTTGGGGGGTCTCTCCGGAGCCCAGGCTCTCCTATAGGAAGGAGTGGTTTCTTATCTGCACGTCTGAGAGTCTAATCCCCATCAGGCTGTGCTCTGCTTACTGTGCTGCTGGGTGACAGTTTAAAATCGTGTTTTTGTGCCAGAGTGACTACGTTTCGTAAATCATTGGTTTCTTCCACTTTGGTCCTTGGAAAGCACAGACAGCTCATTGGATCTCGGCTTTTGATGCCAATTTTGATAGCATCTGAACCAGAGGTGGGAAATGTCTGTCTCGAGGGCTGTATAAGACCCTTGAAATAATTTGGTCGGGCCCTGCCAAGGCCTTAGGGGTGAGTTAATTAAATGTGCAGGCTAATGTTTAAGCCGATAATTGTATATGGCCCTCGAATGACGTTATAAATATCTAGATGGCCTTGGCAGAAAAGGCTCCCCTCCCCTAAGCTAAGGTAACACCAGTGCTGTGACCGAATGCTGTACTGGCCCCTGGGAGGCTCGGCCTTCCCCGGAGAAGTCCAGGCAACTGGGTCACTGCTGAAGAGGTCTCAGCTGCCACAGGCCTCAGAGGCACAAGCGGGTGGCACCTGCGGGCTGTTAGGCTGACACCCTGGCTTGTCACGTGGAAAACCAAGGGCCTAATGGAGTTGTGGTGGAGGACAACACCACCGAAATCCATGAGATTGCCCGTTTCCACACTATTCCTGCCAGAGCGAAATGAGCTCCCTTATTCAGTGAAGAACTCCATTTGGGGGACACAAACAGCTTTCCTTTTTCTTTTTCTTTTTTCTTTTCTTTTTTTTTTTTTTTAACACCATGGCCAAAAGATGTCTTATTTTAAAACTGCAATTTAAAAAAAGCTCACAGGCACAGACAACAGAATAGTGATGACCAGAGAAGAGGGGAGAAGGGGGAGCAGGTGGAAGAGGCAGAGGGGATAGAAGGAAGGAGACTTGACTTGGAGTGGTGACCACACAATACAATACAAGATGGTGTGTTATAGAATCACACTCCGGAAGCCTTTATAAAAAGAACACTTTACAAATGCATTTTACTTCCTCAAAAAATTTTTACACTTATTACTTCGACTTACTACCATGCCACCATAAGATCGGGCACTGGGAGACTGGGATCCACTTTTTATTGTAGGCATGCTGCTCCTGAGTAGCAGATCCAGGATTCGAACATGGGCCTTACAGACCACGGAGCATCTTACTTCATTGATGTCCAGATTCCCTGCCAGTTGGTGATAACTTGTGATGTGTATCAACTGATGGTGGCCCTACGCATATGATGCACCTTTAATGACTAAATCCACCCTTACAACCATCTTCAGCGATGTTTTGGCTCTGCCTGAAGATTTAACTGGTCTGTGGAGTGGGCACTGGGATAGCGGCTTCCGCATCCCTCTCCCTTGGTGATTCCAACGCCCATGCACGACTGGGAAACTCGGCTACGCACAGCTACAGATTTGACATGTTGACTCTTGTTAGACTTTTTAAAGGGGAGCAGAGTCAGAGACAAAATCTGCCAGTGAGATTCCTGTACCTGAGGTACCCACCTCGTTGCATCTCCCTTCCTGCCCTGCTCCAAAGCCAGGGCTTCCATGCCAGGATAACGGGCCACGTGTGTGCCAGGGGTCCAGCTGCAGCTCAGCTCCTCTCTGATGCCCAGAGCAGTGCATAATGTGTCTCTCAAATATCAGCAACAAAAGGCAAAAACGTACACTACAAACCTAATGGCCCGAATCAATGGATTCTTCTGCAGAGAACGCTCTACTGAGAATTGAAAGAAAGGACTTTCAAAGCGTAAATACCACAATCACTCTCTAATCCTACATCTCATATATAACATTTTAAAAATCCCACCTGGTGCTTCCCAAGTCCTAGGACAGAAAGACAGCCGCTTCCCCAAACCCCACCTCACGCTGCAGCACTGACTACACACGCTTGGAACCTACACACCACTGTCCCATTCCGGGGGGGGGCTGTCCAAGAGATTCCTGCATCTCCTGGGGTCTCGTCTTGTTTGTTGGGAAAACTACTTTGGCCCAAGGGCTGCTGCTTCTCTGGGAATGAGCTAAGGAAGGCAGCCCCAGTTTCAGCGCACGCTGAAAGCTGCCGTCCATGCTTCCTGACAAAGGGGCCAGAGCCAAGGAAGTTCAAAAGGAATGATGTCTAACCCTGAGCTTCTTGCCAATATTTCCGAATTCAGATCTGGACAACCTTAGGGAACAAGAAAAACATCCCATCGACCCAGTAACACTGGTTCCTGAATTTGTTCCTAGAATCGTCACCTCTGACCACGCCGGTGGTGCAGGGCCCCGGTAAGGAACTTCCTGAAAGCTGGCGCCTGCGTCTGCTGAAGAAAGCCAGCAGCAATGCCACTCAGAAAGGAGCCGCAGGGTTTGCTGCCGCCTTACACTGAGCAGGCGGGATGCCACGGCCACCGACCCCGGCACACAGCCGCAGTCACCCACACGGACCTGAGAGCCTGCTCAGCTCCCTGCTCAGCCTCTCACCTCTTCCCAACCGATGTCTCGGTTTCCTTGGCTAAAGCGCATTCTTGGGGCTTCCTGTCAAAATCTGCAAGTTCTACAGGAGTTAAGTTCTAAGAGCTCAACCCTTGCGCCATGCCTCTGCAGGGGTTTGGGAATATTGCCCAGACCCCTCGTCTGTGCCAAGATCAACAACAGTAAGGTTTGTATGGCTATCACTTACAAAAACGCAGACTTCTGTGCTCCGGGGACTCTCGAGGCAGGTGGACACGTGGTGCTGCTACAGGCACTGCTGAGACCCCTTCTCCTGGGAGAGAGGGCGGTCCTGGCAGCGAAGAGCTAAGGCCAGATGGCTTCCGGCAATGCTGCAGGGCAGGAAGAGCTGAACTGATCCAGGGCGAAGGGGCTAGCAATTTCAAAGACCGTTGCTTTCACGCTTCTTATTTTTTTGGCTCGATTGAACTTACTGTCATGCCGCCTTGCCTCTTCCTCCCCACTCCCTCTCAGGGTGGATTTGCACCTGAATTGGAAAATCCCCCAGGATCAAGTGAGGTAGCTTGGGAGGCTACAGTTATGGTGACAAAGGACATCCTGGACCTTCCTCCACGTCCCTTCCTGACTATGTCTGGCCGTGGGCACAGCTGCTCACGCACTTGGCGGCTCTAGGCTGCAGCTTCCAGACCAGTGCTGGCCTCGGAGGGGCGTCACCGGGCCCATGCCAAGGAACTAACCCAATGGCCCCAGAGGGCTGAGATGGGCTGGCGCTCCTGTGCTGTGGCCACAGGTAAGATCTCTGCGCTGATGGAGACAGGCTGGAGCCTGACTGAGGCTTAAGGAAGGGTTGTCTTTTTCCTTTTCCTGGTTCCTTTCTTTTTCTTTTCAACCTGCATCGGTTCAAGATGCCACAAACTAGAACTATGCTGCAAGAGGATATTCGGAGAAAAGGAGACAGGGAGGCAGAGACCACAAGAAGGTCAAGTACAGGGGCATGCAGATCTTATGTTGGGCCACAAGCACAAGCCCTTGAGGCCCCAGGATGACGATGAGATCAGACCCTCGGACTTTTAGAGTCATGCCCCAGGGCCAGGTTAGTGGGCATGGGTTATGAGGCTGACAACACAGTAGCAAATTAGAATAATTAAAGGCTGTAATATACCTGCATCCAACATCATTTATGAGCCGTGTTATCGTTGTTATAAGACCTTTATCTCAGGATTAAGATTTTGTTTATCTTGAAAAGTGCACACGATGCTTCTGTTCCTCTAAGTTGTTCAACACTCTTCTCTCCACCCAACAGAAAGAAATATGAAATTCACACTCTGACAGAAAACCAAAGGACTCCTCCATTCAGTGAGCCGAATGCTTTCTCTAAACCAAAAGATCTTCCTTGTAGACTTACGCAACTCTCTGAAAGAGATCTTGCAATTGAACAGTCAAGGGCAAATTGTTTCAACACATCCACAATCCACAAAGAAACCTAGCGCCCTGGAACTGCCTCCCTGCCTCATCATCGCCACGGCGGCCATGTGCACAGGTGAAACGCAATAGCAAGGTGTTCCAGAGTCATGTCATGGAAGAGACATAAGTTCATCTCAACATTATTTTTCACAAAAGCACCTCTGCTGCTGGCTTCAGCTTAGGAAGCCCAGAGGAACACAGCTGCTCCAAGCTTGTCCCCAGAGAGGACAGCGCCACCAAGAGCCTCAGATCTTCCTTCCTCCTTTCTCAAAGCAACCCGGAATCCCAATCGTCCCCATTCTCCCAACCGGCCAACTGCCTTCCACACATCGCCCAGGGGCCCTGGGGGGACGAGGTGCTGCCTCTGCTTCCGGTCCCCTTACCTTGTTGAAGTCTTCAGAAGTCGCCCTCATCTCCTTCCACGTCTTGTTGAGGAGCTGGATGCAGATGCAGAAGAATTCCTCGAAGGATCTGTCGTGGGTGAAGAACATCGGGTGGAAGTCGTTGCAGGTCTCACTGGCTGGAGGAGACAGAAGGGGAAGGAGGGAAATGAAGAGACAGCCACCTGGGGGTGCTCCAAGGAGAGATGACATGAGGCACAGCTGGTGCAAGCCATAGCGGGCAAAAGGAATTCTGAAAAGCAATCTAAGACTAGATCCCGTGCAACTTCGAAGTTTAAGGTCAGATCGTCAGACCTACCCTTAGGCACAATTTTTGAGTGAAGTCAGGTCCTAAGCCACAGCGCGACATGAGCCTTAGGGTTGTTCCCGATCGCTGGTGTTGAGTATGAGCTCTGAATCTGCCTTCAATAACCTTTCTGAGACTGTGCAGACTCCCTCTCCATCACAGCTCCTCCTTCTCCCGTAATTTCTCCTTTCTCAACAGAGTCACAGGCAGAGGGATGAGCTTCCCTGCATACACAATTAATGGCAACTTTGGAAGCAGCTTCCTTGATTATTTCTCCAGGGGGCTTTTCCCCCCCTTAGGCAGTGGGTAGGGGACATTTGAGATCATTAACCATCTGGTGCCATTAACCACTTGCTTTACATTCCCAGACACAGGTAGCTGGAGGTTAAAACAATCCAACTGGCTTTCAAGGTCACAACTGGTCGGATCCTGGACCAAAACGTGAGGCCAGACAATCTGCCTGTGAGCACCCCATTGTCGAGCCTCCTGGGGTCAGACCCCATGCTCTGAGCTCCAGGTGCAGCCACCTCTTCTTCTTCCCTGACCCTCGCCCCAGCCCCAACCATCTTCTCGGCTGTCTGTCCAGGTTACACTCTCACAGCCCTTTCCCATGCATCACATTTGGTTCTACCAGGCCTCTTACTGCTCCTGTCTATGGACAACGATGCTGGAGCCCAATGAACTTGTCTGTGTGACCCTACGCTTATTAATATAAGCTGTTAAATATAGTAAAAGAATTCCTATTCTAACTGGACCTCTCAAAGACCAATCAGTCTCCAAGGCTCTAAATGGTGGAGTTTCAAGACCCAGAACCCCAAAAGAGGGGGGCTATAGCAGAGACCTTCTGCACTTGGGAGGAGCCCTGCTGCAGCCACGTGGTTGGACCTCAAGTTCACTTAGAATCCTCTCAGGCAGGTGAAGCATCCCTGACCAGACCTCAGGGGACACGCTCTGCTCTGGCAGGACCACAAGCTCTTACACACTGACCTCTTCTGCGGCCATCCTTTACAAATACAGTGAATTCCCAGCCTCTGAACAATTTCAAGCAACAGTGTCCAGTGTTTGTACAGCTCACCCCTCTGGAGGGTGGAACCCCATGTGAAGACAGGAGAAAGCCATTTTCTTCTAGACTACGTTAAGGGCAGGGACTAGCAGCAGCGTGTGCCAGGTGGAAAGAGTTAGGGTCTGGGGCTGAAGATTTCGGTTCAAGTCCAGGGCCTGCCAAGCAAGAGCACGTCATTTCATCTTTCTGAGCCTTGATTCTTTTTATATTTTTTTTTCATTCATTTTTTTAAGAGAGAAGAAGGGAGATGGAGAGGAACATCGATGTGAGAGAGAAACAGCAAGTTGTTGCCTCCTCCCCCTCACACCCTGACCAAGGACAGAACCCACAACCTGGGTGTGTTCCCGATCTGGGAATTGAACCGGCAACCTTTTGGTGCACAGAACGACACTCAACCAGTTGAGCCACATCAGCAGGACAAGCCTTGGTTTTCCTAACTAAAAAAGTGGATGTGAATCTCCTCTGGCTTTTCCAAAGGCCTCGGAGAGGATCACATGACGAGATTCTTGGAAAAGTGCTGGGAATGGATAAAAGTTGACGCAAATATGGAGAGAGGTGGCGGATGATAATGCATGTTCTGCCCGTGTATCCTTTCCAGAAACACAAATTGTTCTTTGATTTCCCCCAATTCCTAGTTTTAGCCTGTTCACATCTCAGAAATTACAGGCAAGCACATATAAATCATCCCATCCCCAGCCTGAGTGACCAGCGGAGGGACGGCAAGAGTGACAATCAGACTTGAGACACAAAGCTGTCTAAGGAACCTGGCACTACACTTGGGCAGATTGTGAGTTTGCTGTCCTGGGCAGTGAGCTGCCAGGCCCACTTTCACAAGCACTGAAGCCACTGGAATTTACAAGTCCACAGACGCACTGTGAAGCACCAGCGCCATCCAAAACTCATCTTAATCACATTATCACACTCGCTTTTCCTGGCCCTGTGTGATTATGTGTGTGCTTTATGCCCTCGTTAACATTTTTATGGGATTTCTAGAGCTGAAATAGCCAGGCAAACTTGAGACCACCACGCCCTGCTCTGCTTGGGTGAAGAGAGAGGGAGGCAACACCGCTAATCATAGGGACTATTTGTTGGGTCATGCCACGGACCAAGCTCCGCAAGCGTTATTCTCCGCACAACCCTGGAGGTGAGCATTGTGCTCATCTCCATTGCCAATCCTGAAGAAACTCAACCTCCTGGCAGAAGCTTCATTCAGCGGGCCCAAATAAGCACCTGTAACCCAGTCTAGTTGGCCTGGCAGCAGGCTTCCTGCCTTGGTTGACATGAAGAGCTCAGGGCAGCTCCTTGTTCTTGATTAAGCAGGAAGAGTGACTGCAAGAAGCAGGCTCACCACAGTTGGAAGCCAACAGGATTACGATGCTCACTCATGTCCAGGGGCCCTTGGCCCAGGCCTCCCCACTGGTAAACATGAACATGCATCAGCCTAAGGGGACGGCCTGGGTCCTGAGAAGAAGGTCCTTAATTCAGAGGTTTGAACAAAGAAAAACAGGGAGGCGGAGGCTTACAGGCGCTTAAAAAAATAAATAAATAAAAACACCTATTGAGGAAAAAATGTTAAAGTATAATAGTATGCAATGGTTTTATAAATAGAATTCAGAGACAAATTTTCAATGAGACAAAAATAGTAATACTTTTTTAAAAACAAAATGGTTGTTAAGCAAACTATTTTTAACACAATGAGATTCTACTTTATAAAAATCAATTGAATGGTCTCTTTTAAGTCTGGAATATTTAGGTGTCCTCGGAGCTGATGGTAAAAAGGGTTCTTTTTTTTAAAAAATATATTTTATTGATTTTTTACAGAGAGGAAAGGAGAAAGATAGATGAGAGAGAAACATCGATGAGAGAGAAACATCGACCAGTTGCCTCTTGCACACCCCCTACCGGAGATGTGCCCGCAACCAAGGTACATGGCCTTGACCAGAATCGAACCTGGGGCCCTTCAGTCCACAGACCGACGCTCTACCACTGAGCCAAACCGGTTTCGGCGGTAAAAAGGGTTCTTATGACTTTACTGACACCCAACTCATCTATAATATATATATAAAAACCTAAGTGACCATTTCCACCAGTCGACTAAACAACCTAATGACTGGTCGCTATGGTGACGCACTGACAACCAGGGGGCAGATGCTCAATGCAGAAGCTGCTCCCTAGTGGTCAGTGCACTTCCACAGCCAACCTCCCCCAGCCAGCCAACCTCCCTCGGGAGGTCCCTTCCCCCAGCGGGCCAGCCAGCCCTGATCAGTGGACAACCTTTTGTGCCCCCCCACCCCTGGCCAGCCCCAATGAGCCCCGATTGCTGGCCAGGTGAAGGGTCCCCACTTGGGCATGAATTCGTGCACTGGCCTCTAGTTTATAAATAGGCCAGTGATGCAGGCAGTTACAATCCCTGTACCTATGTTTTAACAATAAAAATAAGAAGGCTGCACTCTCAGGTGGCATATTGCCTTTCAAAGTAGATTTCTTCCCATTTCCATCGGATAATGTGAGCTGCTAGCGTCTCAGAGAACAAGGCCTACTGCACCGAATACAGAGAACTGGTTCTGCTGCTGCCTGTGACCTGGTGAAGGTCATCTCAGCTCCTGGTCCCAGGGTTCTTACCTGTAAGTAAGATGGTCTAGTAAGGTTCCTGCTGCTTTTAAAATTCTAATACTACACACACACAGTCACTCACTCACACACAAACACACTCTCACACACACATGCACTCACATTCATACACTCACACACACAGTCACTCACACACACACAATCACTCACACACACATACACAGTCACAACACACACACACACACTCACACACACATACAGTCACAACACACACATACACACACACTAACAGAGTCACTCACATAGTCACTCACACTCTCACAGTCACACACACACATATACAGTCACTCACACACACACAATCACTCACACACACATACACAGTCACAACACACAACACACACTCACACACACATACAGTCACAACACACACACATACACACACACTAACAGAGTCACTCACATAGTCACTCACACTCTCACAGTCACACACACACATATACAGTCACTCACACACACCCACTCACACACACACACATACAGTCACAACACACACACACTCACAATCACACATACACACAGAGTCACTCACATAGTCACACTCTCACACACATAGTCACTCACAACACACACACAAACACACAAACACACACACACACACACAATCATACACACAAGCACACACATTCACTCACCAGATAATGAACTTAAAGCTCCCTGCTGCCCATGAATAATCACAGGGCTGGGATTTATTTCCTAAATTAGCATTTCCTTGAATAACAAGATGGCTCCACATTTCATCCTGGGTGTTAAGGCATCAAAGCAGCAATGGGCAAGCTTAGATGTTTGATGGCCTAGTATTTACTCTTTCTTTCATCAGAAAATTGTTAGTTGCTTTTATACCCTCCCAACCTATTAATATCACCTAATCAGACCATTACTGTTGAGTAAAGATAGCATGACAAGATGACAGGCGAATGCATATAATTTCTGATTTTTCATGGGAATTTTCTAAGACAAAGGCAGTGTTTCCGGTGCTGAAAAGCTCTTTTCCGTGTTTTCGATGACCCCTGTTATGCTTGGAAGCACTGGGAGCCCATTCACCAGTGCCTGGAGGTGCTCAGGTGTGGGCGGCATGAGCAAATTCTGATGTTTTTACCCAATGTGCCTGACATAAAGGGCATTTTGCCTTAACATTC